GAGCAAAAACTGTAATAACTTTTATCAGCAATACTCCTAGAATATAGCAAAAAATGTATCCAATCTTGTCTGCAATCCTCCTATCCTAAAATCAGACCTGTAGCGGCGGCAGAATTGGAAATGTGATTCTTTAGATTTTTATGTTGGTTATCTAGAATGGCATACAATTCATAAACAACACAAAGCAATCAAACCATTGATTTTAAAACAGTGAGTTGCTTTTAGAATGATCGAGGTGTTCAAAAGTTAGTTTTTGATCACCTCTAACTTGAGATTCCATCAGCTCAATTAATTGACTTGAAATCCCATCAGATTGATCAATTTCAACTTAAGGAGAAGGTATTTGTATTCTAGACACATGAACATTCAATTGTGAAACAAGGAATGAATTGACCGTTCATATTCTCTTCAGCATGATATATAACACATTCTGATCATAAATTCACCGTTTGCAAGATACAGGAAGAGAGATACCCATTGAAAAAACAATAAGAATTGAGAGAGATGATTCTAATACTCTTCATACATGTCCTCAGGTAAGCAATACCCAGAAGCATTGTATTCTGCCACTAGAAGCTCAGGTGTGATGAGCTCCAGAACAACATCTCTGATCGGCCAAGTCGCATCACTGCCCGACTTCTCCAATATCTCACTTCTCTTGAAGTGGGCTTTGATTACCGAGAAGCACATCTCAATAGGATTCAACTCGGGGGAATAGGCTGGTAAATATACTAATCTGACACCTTCAAAAGGAAAGGTATCAAAGTCAGTGTCATGATGTATTGATGATTGAGGAAACAAGCTTACCAGCAATTTCACAAAGTTCTGCAATACGACCCCCCTTATGAATTGGACAGTTGTACATGACCAAGATTGAATTTTGAGCTGGATAAGGGTTCATCAAGGGAAGCTGGATTGTTTATTTGTGGATTAGTGAATTGATACACTGAAACAATGATAAGAAAAGAAACTGACCAGCTGAAATTCCAAAAAGCTTTCAAATCGGCCTTGGTTGATGCTGCCTTCACGGACAGACATGGTGACCAACCCATGTAGTCCAATCGCAGGAAGCAACAAGTATTGTTTTGGGCTTGTGCGCTTGACCCAGCGCGTGACACATTGACCCTTTGGCGAACCGTCTGTTGACTCTCATCAAATCCCGCTCACATATAGCACTCTCGTCTGACAGGATCAGAGAAGAATGGAATGGAAAGGAGTCAGATAAAATAAAAATGAAAAGATAGGGAGACAAGGTAAAAAGAAGTAGTCACTCACCATTAAATACAAGGTATTCAGCAGGTACATTCTTCATGTCATCAATAAATTTTGCTGTCTTGGAGAAATCTTTGCAAACATTTGAAGTTTTGGCTTTTTTGAGAGTAAGGTGAAGGTGTGTGTTGAGCTCAAGTGAAAGTTCCTTGCGAGACGCCAAGACACCGGTTTTGTCATAGATTGCTTCTTGGATCCCGTCCACGAAAAGGGATGGTTTCTGAGCTACAAGTTCTCTGATGAAGTCACAATCTTCATCATTGAAAATAAGAGGAGCACCTCGTTTCTTGTACTCTAGTGGATTCCTAATGACTGATTGAGTTTGTTGATAAAGCTCCATCCATTGGTGGAAAGTGGGTTTGGAAATGTTCTCATCAAGAATATCTTGGATTTTTTCAGTTGAAAAGCCTTGAAGGCATTTGGTAACAGCCAAAGCCTTGATTGTGGCCAAGTAATTGACAAATGGCATGTTTGATTTAATAAAATTGTTAATAAAATCAAGTTCAGATGATTTGAGTGAAGTTGAGTGAGAGAACTAGAGATTGATCGAGGTCAGTCCATTCTTTTTAGGTCTCCTTTTTAGGAGACGTTCTGTAAGAAGGAAAGAGAGGTTTTGTTACCAGCTCTTTCCTTCATGTGTGTTTGACACGTTCAGCTTAGGTGCTGGGCGCAAGACTTGCTCCCGAGGGAGTGAGGCTTGCTAGCTGCGGGTGAAAGCAAAAAAGCGTGTCTTTTTTGTACACACTCGAAGGGCTCCATGAGCTGGAGATTCGAGAGAGCCAAAAAGGATCATCACCTAAAGAGTGAGAGCTGAGACCCTTTGAACCAAGGGAGGGTGGGGTCTTTTAGACTTGAGGGTTCAAAACAAAAGGCGGTCTCCAGCGAATGATGATGAGAAGATGAGATGGAGAGGTTAGAGGGTAAGAAGATGACCCAATAGGTAGGTCTTCTCGAAGAGGGAAGATCTAGCTTATTGGGTCAGCGTCGAAACAAGACAGGACCTATCCAGGGCCTGACTCTTCGACGGTTGAGATTACCAATCTAACGTTCTCTAACATCTCACGCGACAGCATGTCGCGTGGATGACATCTCCTCATGAGGGAGACCGAGTCATGGACTGCGGGCATTCCTCGTGCCTTCGTCACATCCTTACATTAATGGCTGTGAACTGATGGTTTGGATCTGAAAACCATTGAAGCGCTGGATGGGGTTTGGATCAGTCCACATCCAGCTGATCCGGCTTCCATTTTTGCGCTTCTCAAGCAAAAAAAATTACAAGCTTTCATGCAGATGCAGTAGTTAGTTTTTTTTCACCCACCATCCCACCCTTGTGTGTTGTATAGCATTACCTTTATTGTAGTGTTTTAGTCCACCCCTTGGCTCTCCGGTTTATTCTCACACTGCAATGCGTTTAGCAGCAATCAAAAACCTTCATTCAGAGTTCTTGACCCCACGTGCCCAAACCTCTTCCCTTGAAAGGGGCTTGTGGTATGAATCTTCCCGTCGCAACACGTTGAATGGGGGGCGCCCTGAGGCCCCTCAAAAAGAGACGAAACAGCTATCACCCATGTGTAAATAATAGTGCACATTCAAAATAAAATTCCATCCCAGTAGGATCACTCATTCCAGCCTATTCCACAGGTCCCTGTTTACGGAAGGTTGTTACACTGCTGGAACAATTGTCTTGAGGGCACCATCCGAGGTGATCATACTTCCAATGGTACACAACCAAATATAAAACGAGACCAAGCCATGGGTTAGGCTAATAGATGGATCGATGTCATACTGAGGTGAGCATTCTAGTATTCTGTGCCCACCTCCTCATGGGACAAGGCTCATTGGTGTTCCATGAGCATTCATTTCATATATACCTCAGTCATTGTTTGGTTGAAAAAGGTTTGAGGATTAAACCAAATCTTTCTATGACCTCATCATTGTAGCTTGAAATTTGTATGTTGTTGGTACGGTGAGTCCTTAAGGCTACCTTAACTAATACGGTTCCTCACAATCTTGGTCAGCCCTGGGTACATACACATGTACCCAAAGACTAACTTGTAAATATAAATATTACTCATAAAACTCAAGTACATGTACATATATCTTAAGAACATATGTCACATGTAATAAAATATGTATAAAACACTAATTACATATATATGTAATCAAGAGCTAATATGTAACATATAAGATTACATACAAAAACAATAGTAACATCTCATAACTCAGTATCAAGAGTTAAAAATGCTTATATGGCATAAAACACTTAATGATTACTGAACACAAAATTAAGTGTAAGTAATTATAAAGATAAAAATAATAAAAATAAAAATTATAAACCTAATATTGTAACACTTGTGTATATCACAATATTAGGTTTAGAGAGCTGAATATATAAACAAAAACTCAGTTCATCCTCAGAGAAGGAACCAAGTTTATACATACCACTTTCTAAAGAACCTTCAAGAGTTCAATCAGAATAAAAATCAAGAGTATTACAAATAGTAATACTAGTGATTCAAACTATATACCTTGATCCTTCCTGACTAGATTCTAGTAAGTTATACACCTCACTTCTGTATCCTCTACTTCCCCTAAGTAGTTTCTATACTAGGTTGGTGACCTCTGAGATAATAACCAATAGGTTGGTGACCTCCAAGATAATAATCAAACAGGTTGGTGACCTCTAAGAGATAACCAAGATAGTGATTTTCATAACCACTCTTTATCCAGTTACATAGAAGGATATTGGAGAACCTTGGGATCCAGTTCTCACTATTGTATTCATTTACAAACTTAAACCACTTATTTAAGAGTCAACTAACTGTAGTCTGCCAGGGTTTGTCCCAGCAGACTCTTAGTTGTTTAACTACTATCCATCCCTCTCATCCTTATCTCATTCACTTCTCATCCTCTACCTGTTCTTGTAACTAGTTCTATTCTGACATATAAGAATAACTTTTATATTTCATTACACACCTAGTCCCAGTACCACATTTAGTGAGAGTAGCCTCCTTTAGAAGAGTCACTACCCTCACAATCTTGGGACACTGAGCTTGCAAAGGTTAAATAAGCCCTGCAAGAATTAGACTTGGGTCACGTTGAATTCAAAGGAGTTACTGATTGACTCTCTGGCTCTAGATGTTTACCCAGGGACAGGGAACAACTTTTTTGTACTTGAATGTCATTGGAGTTTGGTCCAGAATTTTCATTCTTCGGCTAAGATTTTCTGCTGAACACCAATGAAAGATCTGTGATATGGATAGTTGTGGACTCAAATGTTGACATCAGACACAGATATCTTTGTGGTTGTGGCAGCTGAAAATTATTACCATTTCAAGGACCACATGTCTGGGTGCATGAGCTGGCCTTCAAATTTTGTGAGATTCAAGATACATGTTAAACTTGACTAGTGCCAAATTCAGCTTTGACAAATTCCCCATATGAGTAAAATTGTCCATATCATTCAGTTTTACATAAAAGAAGGATGAATTTAACATCACAATAAATAGTTGTACAACATATGTATGCTTTTTGACCTAGACTACCTTAGAGTCTTGATTTTTGCAATCTTGAACAGACATCACAGTACAAATGTCCACATTGAAGGTACTACTTCAATGATGAGAGAAAAACTTTGCTTATGATTGATACAATTATTTTGTCCAGTTGAGATGCTTCCCTTTGGAGCAATTGAAATCAGGTTGTATCAGATCTTAAAATATTACTGGATTTTATAGGCATCTTCCGGTGGTGACATCTATACCGTGAAGACATGGTCCTTGAATGTCATCTTGAAGTAGTTCAGTGTCTATGTGTTTATCTTTCTCCTCTAGAAGTGTTTCAAGTTTCTCATTGCTTTTAAGAAGATCTCCTATGAGCTGGGGAGTCAGATAGGCGGATGCAAACATTCCGCGCTTCTGAAGTGGCGTTGAAGATCCGTAAATTGAAGAACGTTTACCAAGTTGAGACTGATGTGGGTACGGAATAGCTGATACATCGACTAGAAATGTCAAAAAAAATACAGCAGCGACCCGGAGCAAATTAAATTTATCTGAGGCCATGATGTGCATCATCAATATTGGAGAATGAAAGATGGAAAACCAGATGCTCAATAAATAATAAATAAATCTTATTTGGAAAGATATTCCGATAGACTCAGATGCGAGAATGATCCAACTGTCTGAAACTTCGGACGCGATGTGTGGTTATTGAAAGCTTTGATGAAGAAAAATGATTGTTAGGTTGAAAAGTATCGTGAGAGGGTGAATACTAAGATGTGAAATGATGGGTAGTATTATAAGGAAACCAATGCGGAACGTTTTGACACATATGAACAGTCTTGGCGATTCGATGACATAGTCTTGCAACATGAAATTGAATGGTCAAAGATATATCGTTGTGACGTCTACAAGAAAGGTACTTTTATAACATTTATCTGGCTCACGCTTGTAGGAAAGAAGTCTCTCTGATGGTGTAAGATCGGTTAAACCACACACATGATCCGGGTATCCAAGAGTGCGAACAAGTTCCCTCAAAAGGCCGATTTATACCGTCAATCGGGTGTGGTTACAGTGAATAGGTGGTCACCCGTTCAAGCACGCATATGAAACCAACTCCTGCTGGGAGGATGAGGTCGGTGTCCAACTCTTGCAGATATCTCCTTGAGATATCCTCACTTCGATTGCAACGTGTTGGGCAAAAGGTGCATCGGAAACAACAGGACAGCTGTTGCCCATGGTGTGAGAAATAGTGCACAAAAGTTCATCCCAAGAGTATCGGTCCCGAAACGGATTCAGAGACAAGGTGTAGGTTTTGTTTTGTTCACTTGAGATATACGCTCTGGGGTGAGGGTGCCGTTTGTGGTAAAGCTTGTATTACATTAGGGGGTTTCAAGTTCAATTTTTTTTGTGTAATTTTTAAAAATTCAGACAAGTTGTTTGTAAAAAAAATCTTCGTAAAACAACGTAATTTTAATTCGGGACACCTAAAAAGGTGTCCCGCTGTAAAAAATTTACGCATATTTTACAACAACGGGCAAGTTGTTGTAGCGTAAAAATACACAAAAAAATTCAACTTGAAACCCCCTATTATAAGCTACTAGCACATCAGCGGCGGGCCGCCGCGTCCAAAGGCTCAAAGTACAAAGGGCATGTTGATACCAAGTTATCTAATGCTCTCTATCTCATTCTGATTGATGCTTGTCCATGTGTAGCAAAGATGTATTTCACACCTGGTTTTGTACAACATTTGCAAACATTAGGGATATTCAAACCTTGTGCTTTGTGTCCAAGAAGTGTTCAGGAGTGACATTGGCCAAAAACTTGTGGGACACTGCCAAAATGTTTTTGGATCAGAACATTAATCACAATGAACTTATAGACTCATTGAAATCCCATTGCAAAATATCTAATGTTCATATGAGAGAACAAAATGACACTACAAGAAATATAATATTTTCTGGGCAGAAAATTAAATTATTGATATACAAAAATATTGAGAGGCCAGGAGAAGGGCAAAAAATAAATAAAAATATGCATCTTTTTCCCTGCATTGAGAGCTTCACTCTCCATATTTCTCCGTATTTTTACAGTCCATATTGATAAGTGTACTAACAATAAACCTTGATAATCATCCAATTACAACCTGTAACAAGCACTGAAATTTGGCTGATTAGTGTTTAGAGAAACTTTGGAATTCTGAAAACACCCATAACTTTGTCAAATCTGCCTCAAAACACTTGATTTCAGGTGCATTAGAAAGCTGAACTCCCGTTCTCAAACTTTCATAATATCAATAACTATCACTACACCAAATGTCGTCTTTACCCGGGGGTATAGAAAATCAGTGTGCGCATAGAAAACTATGTGTAGCGCACTTTTCTATACCCATACATATGCTTTTATATAACCATACACACATTATTTTTCTATACCCATCCAAGTACAATTTCTATACACTTGTGAAATATGACATTTTCTATACTCATACAAACTCATTTATTATCGACCTTCATTAATCAACGGGTCGGCGCAATCCAGACTTGTCAAGTAAAGAACTGAAACTTTCAACACCATCACATACTGATGAACACACACCAGGCCTATTCGTGAAAATCACATCACTTTTCCTTGGCAGCATGCTTCTCTTGATCAAATGCTCAAGTTGACTTCAGCAATTAACCATATGCTAATATTACCAGTGGTTCCCAGCCTAAATATAGACTTCATTATTATGCTTTCATACAGCCAGAGCCATATCTCGTGCACCTAAATGATGGCCGTATGCTATCTTCCAAGATAAAAAGATGCAAGCCTTCAAATTTCATCATAAGTTTAACCGAAACAGGCCAAATCATTACCGGAATATACCCGATGAATGATTCCAAAGGAATCTCTATTGAATGAGCCACATCCTGCACCAGATATAAAGACCTGGCTTCTGCTGATTCACTGAATCAAAGCACCGGTAACCATTCATATCTCTAGGATTTCGTGCTTCTTCGTCTATAAGGTGTATATGTGTACATATGTTGATCAATAGAGTTTCGACTAAGTGATCGGACTGTTTCAAGCATCCTGGTTTGCCAAAACAATTCTTACCATTCCATAGTCTTAGCCTCCGGGAGCATCAGGTTTGTACCCTCACAATCAAATCCAACTACTCATCATCAAGATGAAGTCCTCAAGGAAGCCTCGTCAGACCCGAAGGCATGTGTGCACTTGCACGACCTACGACTGCGTCTCTGGCCGATTCATAGACCCGAATGGAATCACTTGTCATGGTGTTGAGCTGAGTCCTGAGGCATTCGAGTCCCATCAACGCGCGGAACTACGACGTCAAGCTCTAGGAAGTGCGACCCCTGCAAATAAATTACAATCTTCACAGCTTCATCCAACCACTGAGCCTCAAGCAGGTAATCCAAGTGAACAAGACCTGGTTTCTCGGCTTGAACAAGTTGTCCTGAGTTCAAATCGACCTTTGAGATCATCTGATGGCGCACCAAATCCGCTAACCAATCAATCGACTACCACGAACAGTTCTTCCAGTCGATCAATCCCTGCTACACTAGTAAACCCCTCGAATCTTCATGATAGTCACGGAACAGAGGATGAAACCTCCAAGAACTTGCTTGCTTCAGTACGGGAGAGGAAAAACGGAATCCAATCCTATAATTGTGGTAAGTCTTTTGGATGTTTATTTATGAGCATGATCAATACTTACCTTATCCGGTTATATATGATATGAAGATCGATTTTTTCAATTCAGCTTAGAGAACGCCAACCCTGTACATCTACATGCAGCACTTTCAGCAGCTCTCATGAACGTATTCAGCCATGTGTCGATGAAGGCCACCTCATGGCTTCTTGATGTACAGCGAACAAATATTGAGCTTTCACTGAGACATGGACTGAAGCCGAATTCTTCAACGGCCGAGCTTGCTCCGTACGATGATGAAATTTTACGTCGGCTCCCGAAGACAATCTCGACAGTTTTTGGCTGGCTACAAATCGACCCAACTCTTACATACATGAATTGTTGTGCATCCTGTTTTGCTTTGTACCCTATTGAAAATGCTCCACCCATATGCAATCATTGACTTTCTAGCATCCCTGGTGGCCCACCCGAGTCCATTAATTTGGACACTGAATCTCTTGCTGAGCAATCCAACGACAGTACTCACGATTTTAGCGAGCGTCTCTGCGGTCAACCTTTACTACGGTCTTCAAGAGGTCGGCAGATTCCTATTCGACGCTATGCATTCCAGAGCTTTCCCGACTGGATTGCACGATTTCTTTCGCGGCCTGGTGTCGAGTCGTTGCTTGACGAGTCTTTGGAAGAATCTGCTAAAGCCTTCAATGCTGACGATCCTGTAAGAGATATCCATGAAGCTAAAATTTGGAAGGATTTTCGTGGTCCAGATGGCAAACAATTCACATCAACCAGTGGAAACCTCACTTTTGGAATCTTCGTTGATGGAATAAATCCATTTGGAAATAAACAAAGCGGACGTCATGCATCCATCAATTTCATTGTCATGGTATGCCTTACACTTCCCTTTCGGGTTCGATATCGACCAGAAAGCTTGTTCTTAGTCGGAATCGTTCCAGGCCCACGGGAACCATCACTCGAACAGATGAATTGGGTATTACGTCCCGTTGTCACCCAGCTGAAAAGTCTATGGAATGCTGGATTACATCTTTCGCAAACTCATCGCTATCAGAATGGACGTCATATCAGGGCTGCCTTACTACCATTCCTAGCCGATATTCCAGCATTACGGCGAGCTCTCGGATTCCCAAGCGCCACAGCAAACTACTTCTGCTCGATGTGCCTTTTGAAAAAGTCCGATGTAAAAAACTTTGATCGTTCAACCTGGTCTCCAAGGACCACTTGCCAACACAAGATATGGGCGTATCAAGCACGAGACGCTCAATCAGTAAAGGAACGAGAAAACATCTTTAAGACTCATGGAGTGCGTTACTCAGTTCTGATAGATCTTGAGTATTGGGACATAATCCACTTTCACGTGGTAGACTCCATGCATAACCTATTATTGGGTCTGTTAGCATGGCACTGTAGAAGGTTCTGGGTGATGAAGGAGATTGTGGATGAAGAAGACAAGACACCTACAATCAGTACTACAGAATTATTAAATCTCCTTTCAGAACACTCAAATCCTCTTCCAACAGGGTATCCCGCTGTGGAATCAGCAAATGAAGATGATCAACAAAGTGATATATCTCTTACAGAAAACACAGACTCGAGCGACGAAGACTTCATTCCTCTTGGAGAAGGGTGGAGTGGGAAGTGGGAACCACCACCGGTTGACCAAATAATATTCGATTCAGCTATGCTAGCGGATATCAACTCATTACTCCCACGCATCCATATCCCAAGCTGGATCAAGCGTGCAATACCTGTTCTCGGAAAAGCGTCCTTTGGTAAATTGAAGGCCGACGAGTGGAGAAATTTATTTACCATTCAATTACCTTTAATACTTATTCCAATGTGGTATGGTCATGATTCCGTCAAAACCTCACTTCTCAAAAGTTTCTGTCAC